TGACGAATATTTTTACTTTGGAAATCAAACTGCTCAACAATATAATCCTTGCAGGAAATTCGCAGTGTCAGAAGATCAATTTTATTAAAAAATGAATAACAAAAACAAGCTTTTTATAACTACAAAAATTACTAATTGAAAAATTCAGATTTTGCATTTTATATTTAGAATGCATTTTTCCGAAAAATTTTACGTTTGATTTTTGAAATAGCAATACACTTTCGTATATTGCTTCTGCCATTTCAAATATCGTAACAGCCGTTTTTCTATCTCTGCCAATAAAAAGATATGGCTTCCGAAATATAGTTTTTCGGGCAATTGACCCAATGACATCCATAAAATATTGCCGTTAACCTAAAAACTTCATATTTGGAAAGGAAGAAATGTCTCAAAGCGCAAATAAAGAAAACAATTGGGAAATCTTTCATTTCCAAGTCTATTTGAGATCATTATGTGGCAAGCTTTATCAATAGCACCTATGAGAATTGCACTTATTTCTAACATGACTATATTCGTCAAAAAAGACAAAAAAGTATTGTATGAAAATAAATAAAAGTAAAATAAAAATACTGGTTTGCAAGGGAGGAAACAGTAGAGAAAGAGTGAATATAAAAATAGAAGACGAAAAATTAGTATGTTCGGTATCTAGGAAGTCAGATACGTCAGGACGGAAGGAGTAGTAGGGATATAAAGCAGAGGATAGTGCAAGTCACTTCTACACTCGCGAACGATTAATTTAGAAATTTGAAAAATGTCGTTAATGGTGTATATATGGGTGTGAAACATGGACGGTCTGCGCGGTGGAAGAGAAAAAGTTACAAGCGTTCGAAATGTGGTGTTATCGGCAAATGATGAGGATACCGTGGATAGAGAGGTTAGAAATAAAAAGGTATTAGAAAGAATAGGAAAATAGAGGACTCTGTGGAAGCCAATAAGGAATAGGCGAGATAGGTTGATAGGACACCTTCCCAGGCATGAAGATCTAGTCAGGAGTTAGAAGGTGTAAAGGTAGACCTAGATTAGATTACTCTTCACAAATAGTTAAGGATGTGGGCTGTTCTAGCTTTAGGGAAATGCGAAGATTAGCTCAGGATAGGTAAGAGTGGAGGTGCGTGTCCAACCAGTCTTAAGACGGACGAGAATATATACTGATTGTAATTGCTTAGTTCCACATTAAACATCTTAAAATTATCAATAATAATCAATGATTCTGATTTAATCTTTACATCCTGGATATCGAATGTAGACGCGTTAGTTAATTCCGTCCTTTAATTAGACGTTTTAATGGTCAATTAGTTTTAGAATGCTATACCATCACCAGAGATGGGTGCCTATAATTAGATTGCATGACCAAAATGCCTGTATATTATTACAGACCACGCTAGAACATTACTATATATACATAGATAATTACTAATCGTAAGTAAACAGAACCCCTAAGCCACGCGACCTGCTCGCCCTTTCTCTGGATTACGATTCTTTCGTATTTCGTAAATGTCCTCATCATAATCATAAGGTCGTCAGTCCTAAGACTTGGTCACGCACCTCCACTTTTTCCTAACCTACAGCAAGTAGATATCCATATTTTTAAATGGACCTTGTTGGAGCATACGTAATCCTAAAATGTAGCATCGTACTACAGATGGCGCTCACCACGCCATTTGTGGTATTTTGTAGAACATATCACATCCTTAACTATTTGCGAACAGTAATTTAATCTAGGTCTACCTCTACTCCTCCTAACTCCTGTTTATGCCTTTAATATGCCTCTGATTAGACCTTCATGCCTGAGAACGTGTCCTGCCAACAACTTATCTCGCCGATTTCTTATTGCCTTCCACACAGTCCTCTGTTCTCCAATTCTTTCAAATACCTGTAAATATCCTACCTACTAATAAAAAAACTTCGTAGATTTTGTAACAATAGTTCAGAGTTCATTCAAAGTTTGTTTTCCACAGAACAATTTCAGTGCCTCGCCATAATCTATTATTGATTTACCCCATGCATGTGCCTATTTTCCTTAAAAGTACATATTGTAACCCGTATTTCAGAAAGTACTCTCAACAATATCCCAGAATCGATAATCCCCGGTGGCTTGAGCAGCACTGTGAAGGTGCTATTGAAAGGGTAATATATAATTGCCCTCTACGAAAATAACATTAAAATTAGCACAGTGACTATATTACGGATATCGCATTGCAAAATAATAATAAAATTTTAACTTTGGTTACTTGTCATTTAAAGGGGAAAGTCCAAACCTTCTTTAAAGTGCGTGTCAAAATTCTTTACCTAGATATGTAATTTTTCTCTAAGTCGAACGTTATGTTCTCAATAAACATCCTGCCTATCAAAATTGACACATACCTATTATTTTAATAAAAGTTCGAAATCTTTCTAAGTGTTTATTCATCTCTTTTTAAAGCAATTCTGATCCATTTAAAGTGCATCGATTCCTACCCTTATCTAAATGTGTACCCTCAATGGGTCCTTGTTACTTATACAGGATTCTAATATTCCTAGACGATTTCTACTTACTTTTTGAATCATTTCATGAGAAATCGCTGTAATTTTATTTCTAATGCGTTGTTTTAATTCTTGAATATTGACAAGGTACACTTCTATTCTCACGAACGATTAATTTAGAAATTCGAAAAAGATTGTTAAAAGTGTAAGTACGTTTGGAGCGCGGCGTTGTACGGGTACGAAACATGGACGGTGGACGTGCCGGAAAAGAAGAGGTTAGAATCGTTCGAAATGTAGTGTTATAGGCGAATGACGAGGATACTGTAGATAGAGAATTAGAAATGAAGAGGTTTTAGAAAGAATAGGAGAACAGAGGACTCTATAGAAGTCAAAAGGAAATAAGCGAGATAGATTGGTAGGACACCTTCTCAGGCATGAAGGTCTAGTCAGAGACATATTAGAGGCAGAAATGGGAGTTAGGATGGGTAGAGGTAGACCTAGATTAGGTTACTGTTCACAAATAGTTAAGGATGTGGGTTGTTCTAGTTTTAGGAAAATGCAAAGATTAGCTCAGGGTAGGAAAGAGTGGAGGTACGTGTCCAACCAGTTTTTGAACTAACGGCCTTATGATGATGATGATGATGATGACACAATCTTTATAACCAGTAATGGCAAAATGGTACATCAGGAGAATGGCCGGGATAAATAATTTCACCAACTCGAGAATTTGCGGTAATTGGTCCATCCTTTTTCAAAGATAATGCAGGTAATGCTGTGACAGTTACAACAGACTGCTACGTGAATATTTTCCAAATTTCATAATGCCTTAACTTCATTAACGTAGAACTGACCATAATCTTGTGTGACTCACGTATGACTGGAATAAAAATTAATATTTTGAGCCAACTGTTTCCTCAGCATTTGGCTTCCGAATTTGGAGATACTAATTCTCTTGATTTATCATTTTGCTATTACCGATTATGAGGTTATCTCAAAAGTAAAGCGTATACATCNTAATTTATATACATTTTTGTTTTAAGAAATTTCTAAACATTTTCGTCTAGTACTGTACAGTTCTAGCCGATTTCCTAAGACCGCCGATCGAGAGCTCTGCTTGTTTAAGCTTGTTCCAACTATGAAATATTATTCTGAAAATTTTGAATTTTTTACCCACTACACGCTACCTCAAATTAATGAGGGAACTTCCAACTATCTCTGTCTTGCTCACGCCTAGTGCGTATTCTTTCTATCTTCGCGCAGATTTCTTCAAGGTCACAATTCTAACAAATTGAAATAGACTGTACCTCGCTATTTTTCATTGACTTCAATAAAGTCCTCTGTTCTCCTTTTCTAATACCTTCTAATCTTCTCTATCCACGGTATCTTCAACTTTCGTCGTTAACACTACATTTTGAAAGCATCTAATCTTTTCTTTTCCGCCGCGTCCACCGTCCATGTTTCGCACCCATACAGAGCCGCGCTCCAAACATACATTCTTAACAATCTTTTTCGCATTTCTATATATTTTTATATATCTCCTTCCGTCCTGACTTATCTAACTTCCAACTACCTAAAATCAGCCACTTTTTCTATTCTTTCGTCTCCTATCTTTATCTTTGCTCTTTTTCTGCTATATCTTCCCTTGCATACCAATGTTTCGTTTTACTTTTATTTATTTAGCTAAATGCTAATACTGCTATATTACCAAATAAATTACATGAAATTTAAATTTATATTTATTTAATTTCAAATGCATCAGTTACCACTTGCATTATTATTCATGCATTCGTATGTTGCTCTCTATATGGATTTTAGAACACTATTGTATTTACAAATAAATTCAAACATTTCACATTAAAATCTAAATCTAACCAATCCAACCTCGATTACCTATATCCGTTACATCCCTAATTATAACCATGCACTCATAATCTCTCATATTAAAAATTTAATTTGAATTCTACTTAGATAGTTTTCGATAATACAGTGTGGGATCATGTTTCCTGTTTTAATCTTTGTTTTACAATTCGGTCAAAAATTCTCAATAACCGCTAGCTTCACGGAGAAAATAGAAAAGGAAAATTTACCTAAATATTAAAACGATATTTACAATCTATCCCACTAGCTCGTTGATTCGGAAGCGAAAATAATAATTAGGTACTTCGATTGATATTTTCAATAATTCAATCATTTACAATCGAAAATTGTAAATTTTTGTGTTGTAAAAATTTAGATTTTCTCCGTGTTATATTCCTCATTTTCTTATAATATTAAGGAAGCTCGAAACGTGTTATCTATTACCGACGGCGTCACGTCCTCAAAATCCAGAACAGAGTTGCCAAAACACGCGTTCCACTGATCTTTAGGGTGATTGATTACCATGTTTTTCGGAAACTAACTTTTTCTTACGTTATATCTACACAAGCTTTCCACATGTGGAGATCGTGGATAGGAATAAATTACAATCTAATCTCGAATGATAATAAAAAGCTCTTCATTCGCTTTTCTTAATACTGTTGTTCTGTTTTTCGTTGCAGGCTCCACCGCCCCCGCCACCGTCTCAAAGTTCGGTGGCCAGCAGTGGCAGCGGGGGTGGAATTGGATCGATCACGGATTTATCTTTGAACCTACGACCGGGTTCAAAAACTACAAGTGCTCCCAGCAGCCCTGCCAAGTCGAGAGAGTCGCTTTTACAACGAGTTCAATCACTTACCGGTTAGTATGAACCAAATAGGGTCACATAAAAAGGCTTTCGGGTCTTAGGGATTACCTAAAGGAAAATTCAAAGCTTATTTTATGATATACCGCCCTTAAAAATAAAAATTCCTTCAGATAGAAAATTTCACAAGCTGATTCGGTATGAAAACTGAAAGTCTAACGAAGTCGTACATATCTGATAGATTCTATTTCTTTCTCTAATTACTATAAGTAAATAACGGAGTCAAAATACATACGCAATTTTTCAGTCCTTAGAGNGTATGAAAATAAATAAAAGTAAAATAAAAATACTGGTTTGCAAGGGAGGAAACAGTAGAGAAAGAGTGAATATAAAAATAGAAGACGAAAAATTAGTATGTTCGGTATCTAGGAAGTCAGATACGTCAGGACGGAAGGAGTAGTAGGGATATAAAGCAGAGGATAGTGCAAGTCACTTCTACACTCGCGAACGATTAATTTAGAAATTTGAAAAATGTCGTTAATGGTGTATATATGGGTGTGAAACATGGACGGTCTGCGCGGTGGAAGAGAAAAAGTTACAAGCGTTCGAAATGTGGTGTTATCGGCAAATGATGAGGATACCGTGGATAGAGAGGTTAGAAATAAAAAGGTATTAGAAAGAATAGGAAAATAGAGGACTCTGTGGAAGCCAATAAGGAATAGGCGAGATAGGTTGATAGGACACCTTCCCAGGCATGAAGATCTAGTCAGGAGTTAGAAGGTGTAAAGGTAGACCTAGATTAGATTACTCTTCACAAATAGTTAAGGATGTGGGCTGTTCTAGCTTTAGGGAAATGCGAAGATTAGCTCAGGATAGGTAAGAGTGGAGGTGCGTGTCCAACCAGTCTTAAGACGGACGAGAATATATACTGATTGTAATTGCTTAGTTCCACATTAAACATCTTAAAATTATCAATAATAATCAATGATTCTGATTTAATCTTTACATCCTGGATATCGAATGTAGACGCGTTAGTTAATTCCGTCCTTTAATTAGACGTTTTAATGGTCAATTAGTTTTAGAATGCTATACCATCACCAGAGATGGGTGCCTATAATTAGATTGCATGACCAAAATGCCTGTATATTATTACAGACCACGCTAGAACATTACTATATATACATAGATAATTACTAATCGTAAGTAAACAGAACCCCTAAGCCACGCGACCTGCTCGCCCTTTCTCTGGATTACGATTCTTTCGTATTTCGTAAATGTCCTCATCATAATCATAAGGTCGTCAGTCCTAAGACTTGGTCACGCACCTCCACTTTTTCCTAACCTACAGCAAGTAGATATCCATATTTTTAAATGGACCTTGTTGGAGCATACGTAATCCTAAAATGTAGCATCGTACTACAGATGGCGCTCACCACGCCATTTGTGGTATTTTGTAGAACATATCACATCCTTAACTATTTGCGAACAGTAATTTAATCTAGGTCTACCTCTACTCCTCCTAACTCCTGTTTATGCCTTTAATATGCCTCTGATTAGACCTTCATGCCTGAGAACGTGTCCTGCCAACAACTTATCTCGCCGATTTCTTATTGCCTTCCACACAGTCCTCTGTTCTCCAATTCTTTCAAATACCTGTAAATATCCTACCTACTAATAAAAAAACTTCGTAGATTTTGTAACAATAGTTCAGAGTTCATTCAAAGTTTGTTTTCCACAGAACAATTTCAGTGCCTCGCCATAATCTATTATTGATTTACCCCATGCATGTGCCTATTTTCCTTAAAAGTACATATTGTAACCCGTATTTCAGAAAGTACTCTCAACAATATCCCAGAATCGATAATCCCCGGTGGCTTGAGCAGCACTGTGAAGGTGCTATTGAAAGGGTAATATATAATTGCCCTCTACGAAAATAACATTAAAATTAGCACAGTGACTATATTACGGATATCGCATTGCAAAATAATAATAAAATTTTAACTTTGGTTACTTGTCATTTAAAGGGGAAAGTCCAAACCTTCTTTAAAGTGCGTGTCAAAATTCTTTACCTAGATATGTAATTTTTCTCTAAGTCGAACGTTATGTTCTCAATAAACATCCTGCCTATCAAAATTGACACATACCTATTATTTTAATAAAAGTTCGAAATCTTTCTAAGTGTTTATTCATCTCTTTTTAAAGCAATTCTGATCCATTTAAAGTGCATCGATTCCTACCCTTATCTAAATGTGTACCCTCAATGGGTCCTTGTTACTTATACAGGATTCTAATATTCCTAGACGATTTCTACTTACTTTTTGAATCATTTCATGAGAAATCGCTGTAATTTTATTTCTAATGCGTTGTTTTAATTCTTGAATATTGACAAGGTACACTTCTATTCTCACGAACGATTAATTTAGAAATTCGAAAAAGATTGTTAAAAGTGTAAGTACGTTTGGAGCGCGGCGTTGTACGGGTACGAAACATGGACGGTGGACGTGCCGGAAAAGAAGAGGTTAGAATCGTTCGAAATGTAGTGTTATAGGCGAATGACGAGGATACTGTAGATAGAGAATTAGAAATGAAGAGGTTTTAGAAAGAATAGGAGAACAGAGGACTCTATAGAAGTCAAAAGGAAATAAGCGAGATAGATTGGTAGGACACCTTCTCAGGCATGAAGGTCTAGTCAGAGACATATTAGAGGCAGAAATGGGAGTTAGGATGGGTAGAGGTAGACCTAGATTAGGTTACTGTTCACAAATAGTTAAGGATGTGGGTTGTTCTAGTTTTAGGAAAATGCAAAGATTAGCTCAGGGTAGGAAAGAGTGGAGGTACGTGTCCAACCAGTTTTTGAACTAACGGCCTTATGATGATGATGATGATGATGACACAATCTTTATAACCAGTAATGGCAAAATGGTACATCAGGAGAATGGCCGGGATAAATAATTTCACCAACTCGAGAATTTGCGGTAATTGGTCCATCCTTTTTCAAAGATAATGCAGGTAATGCTGTGACAGTTACAACAGACTGCTACGTGAATATTTTCCAAATTTCATAATGCCTTAACTTCATTAACGTAGAACTGACCATAATCTTGTGTGACTCACGTATGACTGGAATAAAAATTAATATTTTGAGCCAACTGTTTCCTCAGCATTTGGCTTCCGAATTTGGAGATACTAATTCTCTTGATTTATCATTTTGCTATTACCGATTATGAGGTTATCTCAAAAGTAAAGCGTATACATCTCATCCTGTTAATACATAAGGATTAAAACAACACATTACTACTGAAATTATAGCTATTTCTCAGGAAATTACTCAGATAGTAAAAGGAAAAAAGAAGTCTAAAAAATTAGGGAACCCATCCTATCAATGTATTATTTAAAACAGATTACAGCACGTCCTGTCGCCACATTGTAAATGAAATTGTAGGGATTTCTCATGAAATGATTCAGTGAGTAAGAGAAAATCCTCGAGGAAGACTAGAAACGAGGGAGGAAAAAAAAAACTTTTGGGTGTTTCATTCCCACCAGCCAGTAATGCTGGTGGGCGGGCAGTCCCTCCGGACTATGCCGGAAGGTAAGGCGGAAGGCCCTCTTCAGCCTGCTTTCAGGAATCGTGGGAATGGGTGGGTGGTGGTTCGGGTGAGAAAGATGAGACGGACGAAATGAAGA